GCCTTTTTATCTCCATATATTTTGTATTCTTGTTCAGAAAGCTAGGTACTCTCAGGATTACAGCTCTGGCTTTTTGCAGAATTCACAGATTTCTGTGACAGAAACTAATTGCCATGTCCCCAGCAAGCATAGTGAATCAGTTTTGGCTGAGGGCTCTCTTCCCAATTGTCTTACTGATGGATGCTCCGATCCCTCTACAGAATCGACTTTTCCTGCTGAAGCTTCAGAGCAATTACAGGCTCGTAGTCCAATATCCAGTATCTGCTACTCTGCACGGCTAGCCTCTTCTGTATGCTCTTCTGATCCGTCCAGTCAGTTAGCTGTATGGGCTATTGGCCAAACTCCGTGTGAAATCGATATCTGCTCTACGGTCCAGCCCAATCATGCTACGATTTCAAACCAATCCGATTTTTTCGATGACGCTGGCCGTGTCAGTGCAATTCCGTCTTCAAAAGAGCCTTTAAATGTAGTTCAAAGTGCTGGTGACTGGCGATGTCTGAGCGGGATCTCAGACTTTCCAGACAAATTCCCTCAGCAACTCGACGTAGAACAGACCGGTATTGAACCTAGGGTGGAGGTGAAAATTCCTTGTGATGAATATAAGTCACTCAAACGAGAACCAAATGGAAATACTTCACGTCACATTGCCCGTTCACATTTTCGTGAAAAAAGCAAAGGTTTGATTATCAGTTTGTGTATGTCCTTATTTGCATATTTTGTTTTGGCACACCGACAGCAGTCCCAAATGGTTAATTTGCTATTTTTATCCAACCCTTCTGAACACACAGAGATAACTGAATTTTATGATAAACATTATTTACCACATTTACTAACCGACAACTTTTTTCCTATTGATCTAGATTGTTTGGATTGGGTTTCTTTAGTTCTTCAAGCTTCTGCTGGATTCTCGAAAGTTTTGGACCAAGTATACATTTTGATTTAATATGATCGTCCAATCTACATCGAAATATAAAGAATATGTAGGCTTAAAAAGACGAAAGCCTTCAGATTTAATTTTTCACAAATTTAAGTCAACAAGGATTGATTCAGAAGCTATGTCTCAGCAACCATGATACTCATTTCCAAGCTATATCGTTACGGTTTACCTTTAGTTAATACTGTAGTCCTTGATAGTATAACCCATTTCACTTCTTAGATTATACTATTTATCCTCAAGTGGATATGTCTCAATCATTGATTTATTTTTCATGATGAAATAATATTTTTACTTTAGACCTCAATAATTTTCCTGCCCTTTCTTCCCATATCCTCTATCATTCAGAATCTTTTGTTATATTTCTACGCGTCATTACCAACCCTGTTTGGTTGGGCGTAACTTGCACTACCGTTGTTGAGCAGTCTATAGTCTGTGCCTTTCTGACATTTGCGGCTAAATATCTTCAAGAATTATTTCGTGTGCCGGCATATTTGGCGAGCATTCATACAGGTTGGTAGAGCAGACTGTTATTTTTACAATTATCTATAGTTTCCTATTATTATTATGTTTATTTTATTGTTTTTTTTAAATTGCATACTTGCTTACCTAAATCTGTTGAGGCAATTATGCTAATTGATATCTAGAAAATCAAAATTCCTAGTCTATCCGACAAATGAACTCTTTACTACTCTAACAATTAAAGGTGGTCGGTGATAAACTTCTTTAAAGGTTCTTCGGTGCGAAAATATAGGGTGCTGGATATTTAAATAGTCGGATACCTTCTTTTCTAAAATTAATGAGTTGCATGAATACAATCGACTTCTGAATTTCTCGATTGGCCTTGTGTATTGATTCAGGCTCTGCATTGTTTTGCAAGGACCATATGTACTTGGAATTAACGTGATAATGCAGTTAAAAACTATAATTCATAATCGTATAAGCCAAATATATCATTCGACTTAAAATATAATGGGACACTAAGCTTTTTTTTCTCAGGTGTTAATTGGGGAGAGCAATAAATCAATTTAACTAGGTACGATCTGATGGTAGTCTCGAAAACTTACTTATGTACGAGAAATAAGTAATGCAGTAGATTGCTATAAAAAAATACAACTTTGGTTCATTGTGACTCTACCACAGAATCTAATGTAAGAAAATGTCTGGGTTTCCTCGAAATTCACTCCTGCTTTGCTACCCAAGAATACTGGTAGCAGTGTGGCGTAGTGGTTAACGTGTTGAGTTTATACGCTGAACTATCACGGTTCGAGGCCCACTGGGGGTGCTGAAGAGACCCGAGATCGAGGCTACAGTCCATCATGGACGAGAATACTTGTAAACTTAAATAAAAACGTCATGTTTACTCACATCGTTGTGGGAAAATTCACTTATCACCTAGGGGTGAATACACTTTAGCACCACACTACAACTCATCAAAGAGACACTGTCCTTCTAGATTTCCTATAACTTTAGAAATCCTCATCAATAGGGTTTCCAAAGCCATTCCAGCGACATATTGAAGATTCTCGATATAAATTGACTCTTAGTCATCCTCCTAGAGAATGCCTACAGAATACTAGATGTCCGGGATTTTCATTAGCTGAAGTAAAATCAGCAATGGATAAATACAAAACAAAGAAGGCCTCAGTCGATGGGAAGCTACCTTCTGAATTAATTAAATCATTACGTTTAACGGCTTTGGTAATTAAAAACCGTTCAACTCTTATGTGTTATTCAATGTGAATACCCTTATACTAACCATTCGCGCCATTGTGAGAATTAATTAGAGAGGACTCTTATTGTCTTACAATTACTTAGGCACCTCTCTACACTCTGACCGAACTACGGCTAGATGTAGATTAGTCATATAAGGCTATATACCAACTGATAAGCAGTTCTGCTACCAAGGCATATTTCTATATAAATTTTTTAAGACTAGCTTGCATTGCATCTAAATGAAAATGAACTAGAGCGTTAGGCTGTCCTATATTTAATGTCCATCCTTTTGAAACCGAACATGAGTTATCTTTTTCTTATTGAATAAACAGGACCTTTATACTATTATAGATAGTTTAAAATGGGTGGGTTCGAAACTACACTTTTGACTTTCGGGAGGTAAGGCTAAAGTATCGGTGATATCCTGACGCATACTTATCTTGATGCTGGAGATCTGAGCGATCAGTCACTAAATCAAATTTAGCGTCTTAGGGAAATCAACTACTTATCCTATAAAGTTTTTGATCAGATGCAAATATGGCGAATAAAATTAGTATGATAATATATCTATGAGATGTACTCACCCTATTTCGTTTAAGGTGAAGGACTGGCAGTTGAATTTTCCCACAATGATGTGAGTAGACCTGAGGTTTATATTGAATTTCACATAACCTTGCTTTCCCAAGAGGTATTCATATCCAGGGTATTATCAACACCCTGAGCGGGGGTCGAACCATGACAGGGCAACATGTAATCTCAACACGTTAACCACTTCACAAAATTGCCATGAGTGCCCTTGGATCACAGGGCATAATCGAGTTTTAAGGGAGGCCAGGCAATCTCCCATATATTCATATTCAGTCTGCCTCTTGAAATTATCATGCATACTATGGGCTCCGGACATGATGCATCCCTCTGTGTCTTCCTGACCTGACCAAGTTGTGAAAACAAGGCAGAACAACTTTTTACCATAAACGGCTTTTAGTACCACCTAATTTGGTCAGTATTATGTTTACGATCATCGAATCCACACTTGTAAATCCAATTGTTTCCTAGCTTAAGGGTGTATTCGGAAAGCAGCTTAAATTCGCTCGTGAATTAATTTAACAGGTATAATCGTCTATAGATTAGACTTTCAAAACATTTTGGGCTTGAAGTAACGGTCGTTTAACAGTTTTTTTTTTACAAAAATCACGTTTAAACAAGATCTTTAGTAATCATAGGTCGCATAATGTGATGAAGGACTGATATATGAATTTTTCACAATGATATGAGTAGGTCTCGCGATATTGAATTACTCTTGTCTTTTCTTTTCAAAGGAATTCTTATTCAGGGTGGACTTCTGCTTCGATCTCGCCTGGATTTCAGAACTAAGGGGAATATCATATCCTAGTCTCTCAGTTATGCCTTTCAATGTTGTTTGTTTATGTGGCTGAACTTATGTTGATTAGACCGACAGGCCTACTCGTCAAAGTTTAGTGAAACCTTGAAATTCATTTAAGGGAAGCTGGATCCAGCGGTCAGAAATTTATGAATATAGAGATGATATCAGATACAAGGTAGGATGTTGTAAAACACATTAGTTTGCTGAATATGTATGACCTGCTACTAAGCGAAAATTAAGAGTGTGTACGGAAATTAATATATAAGGTGTGTTAACTGACTGCATTTACATTCGTTTATTAGTTCACTTAACCCCATCAATCCACGGGATTACGCAATCCCTGTTATGCTTCTCCTTGGGTCATTAAACTCTAATGTCTAGGACTGACGTGAGTCTTTACTGTACTTTAGTTTTGATCAGTGTTTTGTACATTTGTAACACGTGCACACCTAAACAGACACTCAAGTTTAATTACTCTGATGATAAATTAAAATAGCTAAATTTTTGATATGAGATGTATTCACTCTATTTCGTTTAAGGTGATGAAAGACTGACAGTTGAATTTTCCTACAATGCTATGAGGAGAGTTGACACTTTTATTGAATTTCACATAGTCTTACTTTCCCAAAAGTTTTTCTTATCCAGGGTGGACTGCATTTTCGACCTTATATAGGTCCTATCAACTCCCCCTGCGGGAGTCGAACCGTGACAGTGCAGCATATGAGCTTGACAAGTTAACCACTCGGCCACATTGCCGCATTGCCACGAGTGCCTTTGAGTCACAGGGCAGATGTGAATTTCAAGGAATGCCAGGCCTTTTCTCATATCACATTCTTTGGTGGGTCGATAAAGCAAACTTATTTTTACACAATATATGAAGATTAAGATGTTGTGGCCTCTGTTATGGTCGCAGTCTCCTTTCGATTTATAGAAGTGGGTTGACCTCGTCGCAACTTGGTCGTGTTGTCAGGGCGACGCACCTAGTCCGAAGTCTTCTGCCATAATAGTTGTCATGATTCCCAGCATCAGACAGTGGACTTGATACATTCTCAAACATTTCGCCGGCATGATTAGTGAGTTTTGCCATCCTCATCACCAAGCTACGAACTCGTCAAAGAGACAAGTGAAGTCAATCCCTCGACAAGCGTTCTGCCAAAACGGTTACACTATCACTCCTCTTTCTGTCATTGTGACCTGAAGAGACCCTTCCACTC